AAAAGTCGAATTTCCCGTAGAAAATGAAACTAAAAACTAGGCATACAAATGATTTAGATGTTCTTGATTTTTTAAACATAAATTATTATAGAATAACGGAGTCCAAATACTTTTTTAGGGCGCGATGTATATATGGGGTGGTATACAAATAATGGAAAAGATCATTTTTGTATTCTTGAGATTTTTTGTTCTAAAAGTAGGTACATAAAGTTCTTAGATAGTTTTGGACATTTTCATCTTTTTCCGCATTTGAACGTACATCGGCAGTTTTACCAAACTAAAATATAAGCAGTTGCAAAAAAAAAAACTGTCATTAAAAATCATAAAATAACATGTAAATTGAAATTAGGATAACATCGAAGTTGAGGGTTTACCGGAAATGGCGGAAAATTGCAGTCTATCCTTAGAAGAGTGCAAAACAGGATCTTCTAACATGATTTCTTTTAATGAACTCGTTGATGACTGGACGAATGTCTATTTCATCCAAAATATCTTGATGGGCATGAGTAATTGCTAAGTTGTTGAGTCTCTTCTGTCCCATGGTAGCTCTAAGGTACGTTTTGAGACGCCGTAGGGCACTAAACGAACGTTCGTTAGTTGCTGACGTCACCGGCACAACTTGAAGCAGCTTCAAGCATTTCACAAGTTCCGGTAACATTTCCTTTACACTAGGTTCTAGTACAAAGAACTTTTTAACGTCGTTTAATGTATCAAGTTGCACATTCTTTTGTTTCGAAATGTCACCCAGCATTGACAAATGTAAGAGTAACCTGTCAGTGTCCAGATCATTTTGAAAAAGCTCTTTAGAACGTGTCATATCACTTTGTTGTCCTTTCTTTAGAACCGAAAGACACTCCCTCTCCACTGCAATCACTTTCAACAGTCCTGTTGAGTCGAATCTACTGGTAACACAAGACTTGACAGTTTCACAAATTTCGATGTATACGACTTTAAAATATTCAGCTGGTGTGTTGAATGTGTGGGGTGGTCCAGCCTCCTTGTTTTCGTAGCGTTGAGGAACGCGGCATTTCCGTGCTAGTTCCGGTTCACCTACTGATGGTGGCTTTACTTGTAAACAAAACTTCCAGAAGTCTTCAAATCCTCCACGCTTTTCTTCCAAAATACAGGCTAGGTTAATGAACATATCTTCTAAATCAGTTACGCTCAAATCAGGTGATTGAACTTTACGATTTACCTCTTCCACTGGGTTCATTACATAGCAATAAAGCTGTAAAAACAAGTAAGTCTTGAATTTCAGCATAGATTCCAAAAAACCTGCACATTTATAACCTGCGTCGTTCTTATTCGAGGAAGAGATGGTTTCAAACAACTCCAGAATACTTTCATAATTTTTCAAGATTTGTTGCACACTTGATGCTCTCATTGTCCATCGTGTTGGGCAAAGCGGTCGAAGTCCTACTTTATCACTTAGACTGGTAGCATTGGCACTGCTTACACATCTGAATATTTCCATCCTTTTAGGGGATTCTCTAACATTATTAATTATATCCTTTGCAAGGTTCATTATGTCTCTCATACAAGTCAGGCACCGAAGACTGTCTTCAACTGCTAAATTGAGGCTGTGGGCAGTACAGTGAACGTAAATGGCCTGATCCTGCACGTTTAAAATTAACTGTTGCAGTCCGTTGAATTTTCCACTCATATTGGAAGCGCCATCGTAACACTGTCCTCTCAATTTTTCCATAGACAAATCCAAACGTAAGAGGATGTCCTTGACAATACTGAACAGAGTTTGGGATTCAGTGTTTGGGGTTTCATATAGTCCAATAAAATCTTCATTGATGGTCAAATCATCATTTACTGTCCTGATACAAAATGATACCTGTTCGTGAATTGAAACATCACTAGTTTCGTCCACCATTATGGAAAAGTGCCCACATTTCTTCACGTTAACTAAGACCGAGCGCAAAACAGACTGACCTAGCAAGTCAATTATTTCATTTAGAATATCGTGGGATGTCCACTTATAACCCGAACGATTTAGCCAGTCTTTTAGTTCTGGGACGTCTTCTTTCCTAAGTTCCAAGAGTTGCAAAAAATTTGAGTTTATATCCTCATGTCCTCTAATTGCTAGACCTTGTCGGCATAGGAATTTTAAAGTTGTGAAAATAGCAGTTAACGCTAAACGGGCTTTTTTCATATCATTATTCATGTGTTCATTTAACTGGGCAGCTACGGTTGAGTTTGAAGCAGTTGACAATTTAAGAATACCCTCCTTGTGGACATTTGTAGTTTCATGAGTGCGAAATTTTTCCAAGGCCCTTTTCCAGTTTGAAAAGCCGGCAGAAGTAAACGCATCTTCTTTCTTTAAAGTAAACTTTATAAGGCCTTTCGCTTCTGCCTCTTTGCAAACTTTACAAAATGCTTTGTCAGTTTGTTTTTCATATTCTAACCAAGAATATTTGGTTAACCATGACTTTTGAAAGGATCTTCCCTTACCCTTACCGATGATATTATGGTTGCTGCTGCTGCTCAAATTTAAGCTGTTACTGCTGGCAGACGTTCCAGATACCGGAACAGATGATTCTAGTGCTGGGAGTGGAGTTGTGATCCTATCAACACGCGCCTTTTTAAATACAAACTTATCCATATTGTATCACTTTACAATAATTCACACTCAAACACTACTCACTGCTTACTATCAATCACATCATTCACATCAACATATAGAAACACGACGTAAACTAACTGCTTGTGACCGTGCAAACGGAACAACGGAACTGATTGCAAGAGCCAGAGCCGACAAGACAACCGAGGCGGTAGACAGTACGTTTGTTTTGTTTACAAAGAGCGCGCTAGGGGTGTCTGTAACTCATCCCTCCTCCCACCACTCCACGGCCAGCCAGGCGGCCACAACTTCAACGCAGTGACCTTGGAAAAAGTCACGTAGGCAATCTATTTATAACTTGCTAACTGGTGGAGTGGCGACAGGTAGAGCTACAAGTTGCGGTTTTTATTTTTATAATGCTTTTACTAAGTATTAATTACTTGCAAACACGTGTTAGAACACATTTACTAATAAACTAAGTTTGCCAATATCATTCTGCTTATATCATCATGTCCAATTTGATAATAAAGTAAATATGGTTTAAAATTACATGAATAGGCATTTAAAACCTTAGTACATGTATTTAATTACCTTCTAAGGATTTAAATTAATAGAAAGATTAATATGATGTGAATTAGGTTTATTTAAAGTAAATTAAAGAAATACTGAAATGCAAATTTCTGAAGTATTAAATGTCAATGTCATTAAAATAAAATGGATGACAACTTAACAGAACTTCAGTATTCCGAATTATCGCGAACTTACATTGGCGGAGGTTAATTCTCTCGTTCATTTCCATGAGATTGTTCTTTTCAGCACATTCTGCGGCAATCAAAAATCTGTTTCCGATGCTTTATATACTCTTTACTCCTTCGAAATTTAGGGGGGGCTACGCCCCCCCTAAATTATTTTTGAGGGGGCTCTAGCCCACCCAGGCCTTATGGAGTCGGCGCCCGTGGTGACATAATGTATTATTGTGCAGTAAAATAAAGGCATCGCCAATAAATCTCGCGTATGGAACTACATGTTCGTCCAAAATGTATCTGATGTAACGATCCGCGTTAAACCTCATCCACGTCCTTCAAAATTCTTCGGAATGTCCTCTCTGAGATACCGCAAATTTAATTTTTTTTAATTTCAGATCTAGAGCAATTTTTACTTTGATTAGTTATGGTCACTGCCTGTTTGAAATTTATTTATTACACTGGCATCTTTTATTCCAGCAATCTTATTGTTTACAATGAAGTCAATTTCGTTCTTAGTGGTTCCATTTGATGTCACTCAAGTCCATTTTCTGTTCGATTTTTTCTTAAAGAATGTATTTGCAATAGGTATGTTTTGGTAGTGTGCCAACTGAACCAATCTTTCTCCCCTTTCATTTTATTCACCGACTCCATACTTTTCCATACCTTGTTCCTTGCCGTTTCTCTTTCCCACTTTGGCATTCAAGTCACCAACTAAATATTGTTATTTAATGCTCCACCACTTTTATTGTTATAATGCTTCAGTTAATGTTATTGTAGTGTTCCTCTATTTCTTGGCCAGTATGAGTAATCGTTGGGCGTATATTTGTATCTCTTTGATAGTTGTAAAGTTAGGCTAGTTACTTTATCCGAGATACTAGTTATTGCTACTACTCTTCGTTTCCTTTTCTTGCTGATTAGGAATCTAATACCGCCTGTTCTGTCCTTTGATGTTCCTCGGTAGTAGAATGTGTTTCCTGGCGCTAATTCCAATGGCGCCTCATCTTTCCGTCTTACTTGGCTGATTCCTATGACGTCCCAGTTTATATTTTCAGTTCTACAAGTCTGGATTGATTTGATAGTGAGCGGCAGTTATATATCGCTATATAAAGCGTTGTTTTAGTTGGGTAGCGGTTTAGACTCCGCAGATTATTAGCACCATCTGACCTCCTGGCTTGATCCCGAAAGCTATCCAGTAAATGACCATTTGGCCTACGGAGAATGAGGGTCATGATTTAAGTGTGTGTTTCATGTTTCATATATAGCCGAGGGATTTCACGACTTATGTATTCGTAGACGTAGTAGGTAGGATTCGTTGGCAGAGCTGGCTGACTTTTTAGATCAGCTGTGACCCATTCGTCACTATCAATTATGCACTTACCGGAGATTTAATTGGTTTGCTCTTACCAGCAAGAGAACACCCCTCCGATACCTATGCCAACATTGAATCCCCAGATGTGCATTTATTGAAGACTAAACGATAATCATTTTAAACTAAAACTAATAAATACTGTTTGTATATTCTCAATCTGTATATATTATGTATCATAAACATATTCACATACACTTCACTTTCGGCAAGCTCGCGGTTAGGCTATGACATAGAAGCACCCCATAGGTACTAGTCGTAGGGGATACGGTTTGTTAGAATATCTTATTGTTTTCTAAAATTATTTATGCAATTTTAGGTACCACAAAATGTTCGCTGCAACAGATTGAAGAGAAAAGACTTATGGCATTGGCAAAAATCGAAAATAAAAAGCAACAAGAGATTATAGAAAAAAAACGTCAAGAAGCTTTGAAAAGATTAGAACTTCGGCAGCAGAAAAATGCTATAATGGTGAAAAGTTCATTAGTTAGTAGGCTGAAATAGATTTATATATGTATACGAAACAACAATTAAAATAAAACACTGTTCTTATCAATGTTATATTATGTTTATTAAAAATTAATACATAGTGATTATAAAAAATGTGTTTAATTACATTTTTGAATCTTGGATTGACTTCAATTCTGTAGATACCTGACAACAGCAATAAAGGATTATTATTAGAATAAAATTTCCATAGCAATCTAAAAAAAGAATGTTTTTTTAATATATTTAAATAAATTTAAAAAAAACATATTTTTTAACAACAAATAGCATCCTATATTCCTGGAAAATATTGTAATGATAATTTAAAATCTTTGAATTACAATGAATAAGTTATTTGTTAAATAATTTGAATCCACGGCAAAATTTTTCGCAGATATCTGTAGCTTTTAGGACATGGGGGGGTGGTAACCCCCCGGGTTACTAGATGACTAATAGATGAAAAGGTACTCGTATTTTTACCTTGCGTTTTTTTAAATAATAATTTATGATCACAATTTGATTTTTCCCTTATATTTTAAATAAACAATATTTATTATTTTTATTTTCCCGTTTTTTAAATTAAAATTGTTAAATAATTTACGGAGATATTTGCAAAAAATCAGTTTTTTGCACTAATTTATAAATTTTATTAATTTTTTTTTATTAACAAAATAAAATGTTACTAATACGTTTGAACATCAAGAAATTACCGTCTTTTAAATTTGTGCGAAATTTGCTCCCGATCGGTCAAATAGTTTAAAAGTTATTTAATTTATTTATCCCTGAGGGTAAATATTTAGACTATTGAACTTGCTCTATTAATGATGCTAGACACATTTAGCAAATTTCATAGGATTCTTTAAGACTTAAGTTAAATGCATATTACGTTTTCATCGAAATTATTTATAAAATAAACGTTTGAAAAATGGGTATCTCTTTTACTTATCAACAATAGTAATAACTTCTATATTTTTCAAGCTACAGACTTGTATGTACAACCATTGGATAGCTGGTAAAAAACTCACATTTAAAAAAAAACCTTCTATGACCAATAGGAACGAAGTTAGGGACTATTTAAAAAAAAATCATATCATCGTTTATTAAAATTAAGAAGTAAAATTTGCACAAATTTTGAATGAAAGTCTAAACTTTATATTGAAACTTATAGCTATAAAATTTATCCAATTTTTCGAAACGAAGGTACTTTCGAAAGATCTACATAGGAAAGTAGAGGGGATAACTGTTTCAGCTCCGTTTTTTTTTCTACATCAGAACTTCAAATTGAAACACGCAGAAAAAATTAACATTATCGGCTTCCATTGCAGCTAGAAGTCTCTTCTTTTTAATCTGGGCTAACTCGTCAAAATATGAATAACTACATAGTTTTAACTGGCCGGGAAATATGGGAAACCTAGGAAAAATTGAGTCCATTTAAAATTCACCGTAGAAACTTACTTTTTTTTTAAATTTTTAATAAAAATACTTATTTATTTTAGAAATTAAATTTCAGGTGATTTTTTACATAATATATTGTAGCGAGATTAAATAAAACGAGCGGTTCGAATTTATATAAATATATTTATTTATAACTTTACAGTTCGATACTATCTTATCAACTAAACTTAATTCCTAATTTCGTTACATATATATACCAAAGTATTATGTTCGAGAATATTCGGGAGTAGTCCCACCTCTAATTCGTTATTTGACGGGTGGAATTTTACAGCACTCAATATATCGCCGAAACTTCTCGGTGCTTCGAGATGCGACTGTTAGGCGGGCCACGCTGAATGCATGTTCGTAACACTGCTCCCCTCTTAGATCTGAGCGTCCCGATCAGGAACTCTATCTATAGGCTCAGGATGGCGGAATCTACAGGACTCTCCAGCTCTGCATGAACCCCTTAGAAAGAAATAACAGTCTACTGTCTTTGAAGGACACGATATCTTCGGATTAATGCAACACACAGTAATTCTTACACCGGTTTCTCGGAAGATCACTTCAAGCATGCTTCTGACAATCTTCCAATCCAAATTATCTAGTGCATGGCATATCTTGGGTAAAGCCAAGTTCTTAATGTCGTAATTGCAGACGATTTTCTTTAAATTAGTTAGAGCACACCATATATCCTCGTAGGTTGCCCTGTCTGTATACGACTTCCTGGTCACCATATACAGCAAAGATCGAGACCCATCTTCTAATCTCAGCACTCTTCCAACTTTAGGCTGCTGGTTTTAACTCGTCCAAGCGACCAAATTTCTTATAAAATACGGATGAGATTCCTTTAGTCATCTCAAGATCTTGGGCAACACAGTGGGCTAGAGTGACGTTATGCGGAACACTAAAAAGATCTATACAGAAGATCATCTTTCAGCACTAGGCAATTCCATTGGCTCCAGTAACACTTGACTTCGGGACTACATGCACTAATGTCTTGCCAAGAAGGTCTTTGACTTCGACGCACCCAATCCAATACTCTTTTTATACATGGATCATCTGCTTGAGCATCTTGTAGCTGTTGAGGCTGCCATTGATCATTAATAACGGTGGTTCGCCTCACGGGGCAAAGTCGTTCTTCTAATTCAAGACAATGATTACGATTTGCACTGTATGGCCGTCTTGATTGAACATCAGCATTTGAATGACTTTTTCCAGCCCAGTGCTCGATCTGTTCTAGCTTTCTGACTGTTGTATTATTTTCTTGCACTTTGTGGCGAATGTGACCTTCGTTGTTACCATTCCAACATCTGGGTTCACGTCTCTTCGGCATTATGTTACGAACTACTTTCCGTACGATTTCCTCCAGACGTTTATCGTTTCGTTCGTCACTCTCTTCAGAGGTTCGTACTTGATAGCTCCGTGAAACTCGACTAGCTATCTCATGTTCCAAGGCAATGGCGAGTGTTGCAAATGTTGTCTGGTGCCTCTGGATAGGCCAACAGCGCTATACGAGCAATATCTGCTTCAAATTCTTGCAAACTCTCACTTGCTCGTTGGATTCTACTTCTTATTTGTACTTTGTAGACTTGTTGTAGATGGGCATCTCCGTAACGTTTGTCTAGTCGAGTAAACAAGGTCTGGTAACATTTTTCTTGACCCTTAGGAATCGATCTTAAGATATCTGCAGCATCACCTCGTAAAGCAGCAGTCAAGGAAACAGCCTTTTCTTGTTCTGTCCAATGATTGGCTGTCGCAATAGCTTCAAATTGTCTAAGGTATATGGACAAAGAGGACTTTCCATCAAATGGTGGCAATTTGAATCTCATATGATGTGTCATTTCGTCTCTAGGTGATTCTTCTTTCACTACCGGTTCTAAGGCTACTGTGTTAACTGGTGGTAGCATTTTTGTGTTAGTTATCATGCTCTCTAACTGTTTGATCTTCTCTTCTACTTTTTCGAATGTTTTGGAAACTTCTTCAAATTTCTCGTTATTCTTTTTCGAAGTTTCTTCCATCATTTGAGAAACATTTTCAAATTTCTCGTCGAAACTTCTAGACACATTTTCGAGTTTCTCGTCATTTTGTCTAGCTACTTCTTTAATAATTTGAGACATTTCATTGCTGTCTGGAAAGTCATGGCAAGTCTGCCATGACTTTCTGAAGTAAATACTTAAAAAAAGCAAAAATAATAATGGACACAAAAAGTTATCTCATAAACACTGAAACTTTTGTCGAATGTTAATTCAAGCAAGTGATAGTGGCATAGTTACTGTAATATTTATTGACGTATTGATTTTGTGAATTATCATCAGTTGTCAATTGTAATTTACTTCTGAATACTAAATTATGGCTCACCTAAATGAAACACAACGCATAGAAATATTAATTCTTAGCGGATGCGGAGATAAAAAAAGAACTCAGAACGAGGTATGCAATTTATTAAACGCAAAATATCCAGACATACCCATCAGCCAATCCACAGCAAGTAAAATAGTCCGAAAATTTGGAGAAACTGGGCACGTTAAACATATTCGAAACGCTGGGCGTCCTAAAATTGAAGACAATATGAAACTTTATATTTTATTAAATGTACATGACAATTCTCACAGTAGTTTAATACAAATGGGTGAATATGCTGGAGTTTCTAAACGATCGGTATTACGAATTTTAAAAAAGAATAATACCATCCCTACAAAATTCAGCTACATCAGGACTTAAACGACGACGATCCCGATCGCCGGCTTCAATTTTCTGAAATTATTCAGGATTTATGTATCCGCAATCCACATTTCATGAATCAAATCCTTTTTTTTCTATGAAGCCACATTTTTTATACATGGTACCGTGAATCGTCAAAATTGCAGATATTGGAGTCAAGAAAACCCACATTAGATGACTGAGTCTAAAACCGATGCATGGCATTTCGAACATTTAATTTAAAATAATTATGCATAATTTGGTTACTTTAAAGTACATTATTAATTAAATCATTAGTTGTAATTTAGTTGAATTTATATTGAAAATAATTGTTTTTGTACCCTTAAAAAAATATTAAAAAATGTAATGTTAAATAGAGAATTAAATTTTCGTTTAAATGAGGTGTCGCATTATACCAATTTCTATTTAAAAAAAATTAACGATTACGTCACTACACCTACACCGGTGACATCATCCCTACTCCATGTACGTTATAACATGGGTACTTTATAACAAAAATCGACCTGTTTCGGGATTTCCCTCAAAACTAGACGGTTCTCGAAATAATGATAATATTGCATAATTTAGTCGTTCACTGTATGTGTAGAGGTATATGTACAGTGTGAGGACGGTAAACACATTTATTTATGTTTTTAGATCTAAATATGTCCAAAGATCACAGAGTATACCGTCCTCGTGTCTCTACATTTTATATGTATTCATGTGAATAGGAGAAAGATCGTCTATATAATAGAAAACCGGTAATATATCTTAGTATGCGTGAAAAAGGCAGGATGAGCAGTAGCTGCCACGCTCCAAATTTCGTCAAAATAGTCCCTAACTTCGTGCCTATTGGTCATAGAAGGGTTTTTTTTACCAGCTATCCAATGGTTGTAGTTCAAGCAATAAAGTAACTTGTTTTTCGCGATCTCAAACCTTGGCAAAAATGGAAAAAGCACTGACCGTTTGGATCGAAGGTCAAACAAAAAAGAGAGTGCTAATTAGCACAAGAATAATACAAGAAAAGGCTCTTCGTCTTTACGAAAACTTAAAGGTTGACAACGAATCTTCTAGTTTTCAA